TTTCGCACGTGCCCTTAGACGGAAACCAAACTGGAAGAAAACGGTCTTTCCAGCAAGTTTTCGAACGAGTTCTAAGCCCGAAGATCGGGGAAATTGATGTGGGGACTGTCGAATGAGCAAAACGATGAGTACCATTAAAGGGGATCGTGACTCGTGCCTTTAAGGCATTAAGTAGAGCAAGAAATCCCGCCGTTCTTGGCTGACGGGTTTTTTGAGCTTTTGCCGGCCATTGCCAACGACCATTGGGTCACTCGAAAATCTACAATTAATCCACAGAACAACTGATGTTACACTGATATCAGGGAGTTAGCACATATTCCAATCTTTTCTGGTCATGATTATTCTCCACACTGGAACAAATGTGAAATTTTTACATATCAAAATGTGCAGCAGATTGCGTGGTTTCAAAATGCACCCAAATTATAGAAAATTAGAGCAAAAAATCAAAAAGCCAAAAAGGAGAATGCTTTCCACTCAGCCTAACAATATACAGCACTCAGTTGGAGAGGTCTTCTTAGCACGCCAATCACCTTTACCCTCCACAAAGAAGATTTTAGCTGCTCCACGCTTTCAAAAAGCAAAACAAACAAACAAAAAAACAAGAGTATATACTCCACGAATCAACGTACCATTGTAATCTATTGGCTTCTTTTTATCAACACCAAATATTTTAATAGTGGGGAAGCCTTGCACACGATAAGTAGATCCAACACTTTCGTGACTGGTCACATCCACAGCACCAACCTTAAATGAATTATATAGAAAATTTATATCTGGAACTGTCATTGGCGGTAAAGCTTCAATTTACCTTTACAATGCCTTTGAGAGCAGTTGCAGCTTTTTTATACTCCGGAACAAGATTTTTACAGTGACCACACCTGAAAACAAAACGATTGGAAAGATCATGTTATTCGGTTTATACAGTATTAAGCAAAAGAACACCTACTGCTAAAGACGTCTCCTACTTTCAAAGAGACCAAAAGCTTCGGTCACTGTCAGCAAAAAGCCGCCAAAATGTCTTGTGATCAGACTAGGGGGCGAGCGCTAACGCCGCGACGCCTGAGGCAAGCGACGCGGTCTAGACCTTTCCCTGTTCTCACTTTGGCAGCAGTTGTAGACAATTACCCTCTATCGACTAAGGTACCCTAACGTATCCGACATCATTTTTTCAAGAAAACCCACATGAAGTGTTCAAAATAATTGTATCCAAAAGAGCTTGGGATGAAGAATCGAAAAACAATCATGGCCATTAAGGATCATGACAAAGAGGACTTGGAGGAAAAATGGCGAGTGTAACATTGGCGCGATGCTTTGGGGTATACATACGCCCATTCAGTACTCACATGGCGAGCGAACCGTAAGCTAGGTCAACCGCCACCGTAACCTGAGTTCAAGAGTTCTGCGATCGCTCTGGGGAGTGTCCCTCACCAGTACAACCCCAACCAACGAGTTTCACTGAACTTGCCATCAGTTAACTCTCAAAATGCCTTAACTGGCGTCGAGGGTGGAAGACGAAAGGAGGAAAGTATACACAGCTCCTAAAGTAAATTCATCATCTCTCTCCATTTCAGCAAGTATCCTCCACTACCAACACTCTTCATAGGCCCTGAATACGACCCCCACCAGTCCAAAAATCACAAATATGACCCCCTTTGTTGCAAATATCACGACGGTAAGTTGGCTCTGACTGCAAGTTGGTCCCGAGTTGTAAGTGTCGCCTAATCAATCGCCGATCGTGGCGTAGGTGCTGGCTGGTAAACCGCGCACACAACTAGAACAAATAGAATGTGTCCACAAAGAGGAAGGTCACCTTGCCGGTCGCAACGATAAACTCTCCGGTCACCGCCGTCGCCGGGTAACTGGCTCGTCGTGTTACACGTCAGCGCTATTAGTGATGAAGGATAAAGCACTCCGATGTGGACAGTCCTCTTGTTAGGCAGCCTGCAGCCGAAGTCGAAGGTGGGAAGGCATGTTCACCTGTGAGCAAAGCACAGGATTTATAATCCTCGCGTCAGTGCTGCTGAGAAACGTACCAATCCCACTACACCACTCTCCGTCGCCGAGATCTGTTAAGCCTATGTGCACATTATACCCCTCAAAGCCTGACAAGAAGGTAAAGGGGGCCTAGCATTCCGATTCCGGTGATGAGTAATCCTTCCAGAATTCTTCCCGACTTAGTCCTCTCAGAAATCCTCTATCTCAACGCACAACGGGCTTCTTCACGCCATGAAGTACAAACAAGTACAGCATACCGAAAAAATCAAGAGAACCATGTAAGAATGAAGCCTTTAACAGCTCCCTAAGTCTAAAGGACTCTAGTCAAGTTGGCTTTGGCAGAGACTCCGTGCTGCTGCGTGCCCCGTCTGGTTTCGGGTTGTATCAACTGTATTCTCTCCGCCGATGTCAGATTTGCGAATCGCGCGAATCGCTACTAGCGATTCGCTAGCGTCCGCGGTCGCGTTGCGGTACCAGCCAATTGAGTGATTCACTGGCCGCGACGCGACCGCAGACGCTAGCGAATCGCGCGATTCGCAAAGTCTGACATCGGCCTTAGTGATGAGATTCCTAAAGGCTCGAACCAAGAAATCATCTGAAAAGCAAAGACTACTTTCAAAACCCAGCGCACACGTCATGTTCTATTCAAATTCAAATATGGCCTGAGCGCCAACAAGGGGTAACAAAGGGCAAAAGCGCCTAATTGTAAATGCCAGACAAGTTTTTGTTTTCTAGAAATGTCTTAGATTTCAGGCGCGAAGCAATGCTGAATAAGCACCACCTGTCTTTTTTAGACGTGGAATACGACGTTGTTCCATATAGCTATTTATAATGTAATTGATGTGACTGGTCATGGCAAAAATGGCGGTAGTGATGGATTCTAAAAGATGCCTTAAATAAAACAGTACCATGGTGCATAGAATTCCACAACCCAGATCTCATCGCTGTTAATGACCTTGCTTTGGAAATTATTCGCCGTCAATTCCACAACATCATCCTTTGAAGTGTAGAGAGCATTACACAACGACAACACTGAAAACACAAATTGATGTGTAAATTGCAGCAAGAAAAGGAAGAAAAAAAGAATAAATGAAAATCCTTACAAAATACGGTACCAGCTAGTGCCAGTAAGCTTCTATCTGACCCGATCATGACGATGAACGTTGAGCTCTAATCCTACCACTGAGCTAGGAATCTACTATATGTGAGCAGCTCTGACAGTGCACTGTCGTGGTGCCCTGTGATTGGCTGAGCGCGTTCTTGGTGTCAACTTGGTCCTGCAACGATTCGAGGCGAGAACTACGGTAGTGTGCCGCAATTGCACTCCTTTAACAATTGAACAGCGGCCTAAATTTTACGCTTTCGTGTTTGCTTTTATAGTTTTTCTATTACTTTGTGTATAATATCAATATGCACGTTGTGTCGCTCTGTCGCATGACTAATATTCCATTGGTTTTGTACATCAAGGAACATGATTTTTAGCTTAGGAACAGTTTTAAGCTTGGGAGGGTGTCCGGCGATCACTTTGCGGTAGTGATTTTACTTCTGCTAGTCTAACCTTCAAATTCTAACTAGTGGAATCATGATTCACATGAAATTGGGGCTTAGTTGTGGTTGGGTTCCTCAAATATCTTCAGGTGGCTGTTAATTTGCATGTCTGTTGTATCTCACGCCTAAATTTGCATGTGTAGTGACTTTGCATTGCCAGCGGTTTGATCTCTATCTAATGTCAAAACCTTAGTTTTCTGGAAGCCTTGTATGTCGGCCTGTTTCGCTCAAGAACTAATTTAGAAATAGGAACTGCTTGTGGCTTCCTTTTCTCTACGAATTTCAAATGATTCTTTGAATTTTTTGTGTTTTCATTGTGTTGGT